AAGGCACCAAAATCAGACCATCTTTTCCCTTAAAACAGCTATAGGTTATTTATGAAATAAACATTTTGAGAAAAAAAACTGTTCCTTGTCTAAAATTTCTCTATTTTTACCCAAATAGAATTAATAATGTCTCCACACTCCAAAGGTGATATAATATCAACTTGCGCAACGTTAGAGCCGTATCGACTCAAACACACGTTTCATATGACCCGCACCAACAACAAGGATTGCGGACATCCTTACTTATTCGCCATGATCCTGCGGGGAAGTGCGGGCGAGGGGAAGGAGAAGGGAGGAGGGTCGGTCCGGGCAACGGGACGTCCACGGGGAAATATGGAAAGCACCTTCCTCCTGCAGTCTTTATGGAGACGACTGGGAAACGGACTTGGTCAGGCCCGAGTTGGGTGGGAGGCGACCACACCAGACGGTCCGCAGCAGCATCCGTCGGACAGCCACCGTCTAAACGACTCAAACTCGAACAAACTGGCTGGTCCCTTAACATTTGTTTAATCCGGAGAAAGTATTGCTGCGAGAATTCCTATCCTTTTCTGGGATCGTCAAGTTCAAAAACCGCTCTACATTAAGCTTCATGAATCTCCCAAATGAACGTACGAACGTACATACATACATACATACATACATACATACATACATACATACATACATACATACAATGTGTAACGATCTGCAACTCGGCCTCGGCAAGTTTGGCGTCGTGCGCCGAGAGTCCGCCCCGGTCCGCCCTCATGCCACGCCACGCCACGCCCGGACGGTTCCGCCCGAGTCGGTCTCCGGCTGACCTCCAAAGCGGTTAAGACGCGCTCAAAGCAGACCAGGCCGCGTCGGGTGACCACTCGGATCAGGACGCCGATCGGGCCAATTCTCACCTTTCTCCCGGGCGGGCCGGCCGACCAGTGGCAGAGCGGGCCGGGTACTTAGCGGGCGGCTCCCGTTAGCCGCATCATTTTCTCATCTCGAACGAGGAAAGCATCCTCCCGCCGCCATGCCCGCGTCTCAGACCTAGGGCTTACAAAGACCAAAAAAAAAATCTGGGAAGATTTGAAACTTTTACAGAAGAAACGAAACAAAAAGAAGAAATATTTTTACACAAATTTGAAAAACATAAAACAAATCGAAAGATTAAAAGGAAATATGTAATATTTCCCAAAAAATTTGGCCGGACAATGAAAATCTCTGTCAGACCACAGTGCCACGGTGCAACAGTTCCCTCTCCTTCTCCCTTCTGGACGCGTGAGGGCGGCAAACCCTGCGAGGCGGAGAGAGGAGCGCGCGTGGCAAGGGGGAGGACCCGAGGGTTATTTGGATGAAAGCGGGTATAGGACGAGAGGCACCCGCCTCCGCGGGGCCTCGAGCAGCGGGGAGGAAAACAAAGCGGGTATAGTAGCGGGCTGTAAGACGGGTGGTGCACCACAGCTCGACGCACCGGTGATGTGCTCACGCAGCGGCGACGCAGCGGGTCCCGTGGCCCAGCCCGCCCGGCCTGGTTAGCATGCTCCTGGGAGGGACGGGTGTGCGGTACGGGCGTGTCTCGTCTCGTAAAGACGTCGCCCCCGTTCGCAATTACAAGCACGCCCCACCCCA